GTAAGTCGTATCTGGCTTTATTTTTTTAATGCGCTCTTTTGAGTTTCGTGGATGGGCGAGAAGAATGGCTTTGGAGAGAGGTTGGCAGGTTGGCATAAGGCGTGATTTGAGTTGCTTGAGAGAGAGAGCTTCCTTTTTGGTCTGGAAAAGGAGAAAAAGAAGCCAGAAGCCTATCGTCAAACCACAACTGGAGCGAAAAGGAAAGATGGGCTGGCATTCCTTCTCTGCTTTGGTGTTTTTAATCTTCTGTTAGCTTCGGTGACCGGCAGTTTAAGAGTAGAAAAAGGGCTAGAGGATTTTGGTCTTTGTTCTTGGGGGGGAAAAAAAGAAAGAAAGAAAGAAAGATCGTCTGTCGATCTGTAGTTTGCATGCACACGGTGCTTCCCAACTCCCATTTGAGTGATACGGGGGCACACCTCTCTCTCTGCAGTTGGTAGACACATTTTCTAATTAAAAAAAAGGAGGAAAGCTCATTGTACGGAGTTGGGCTGGAGAAGGCGGCGAGAGAATGAGAAATTGATCAGGGCTTGAGTCGGCATTATCCTGGAAAATCAGCTAGAGACGGTTATGAGACAGTAGATTTTTTTTTTTTTTGGAGGGGTGAAAATCTTTAAGGGAAGTTGCGCCATTTGATAAGAAGAGAAGGGATCGGTTGGTTTTCCGTGATCGACAGCAGCCATTCATTAACAGGCCGTCTCAGGACAAGCCTACGACATCTCACCCAACCTGAGCGCGCATAGCAATGCCCTCTGTGCCACGGGTGAAACAATACACGCCGATTTTCTCTGCCGTTGCCCAGGCAGAAGCAGTTGGCCCAGAAATGCAACATTGGAACCCATGTGCCACAGCGGGAAGAATAATAAAGTTTACTCGAGGCTAGCCGCGTTGAACTGCGCACGAATGCAAACCTTTTGACGGGTATTTGCAAGGGGGGGGGATGATGTTGGTCGGAGGCTAACAGGTGACTGGGTGAAAAGATTTCTCCTTATTAAACACGGGCGGGCAGGCTTCGCCTTGGTCTCTGCGGTAGACTGGCAACGTGCATTGCAACCCTTGTGTTGGGCTTTTGAAATAGGGTTCTCCCTGGAAATTCCCTGCTTCGAACAGGCAGACCGGGCAGCTCCCACCTTGGGAGATTAATGGCCTTGCCAAGGAAGGAGGGGGAAAAAAAAATAATCTCTGTTGGGTCTGCGTTGATGCCCGTGAAAAAGCCACGAGTCGAAATGAAATCGGGGAAATCAGTCAGCATGAGATTCAACATGTAGCGATGCTGAAGAGCGCAGGGAGGTTTGGTGGCTTTTATACTAGCGGTCTCGGTTGTAAGGTGCAGGCAGGGCGAAGGTTGATTCCTCTTTTGGCTGCCTGCAATTAATTGGAGTGGCGGATTGCACGCTCTCTGCGACGGTTGCGAAGTCTTTGTCAGCTTTTATGTCAGTGTCCAGGCTCGGAATAACACCCCACCACCACCACCCCCGGCCCAGCCCAGGGGGAATTCTTGCATGGTACAATTGGACTAAAGTTTCTTTCTCGCCTGCATTTCACCTGGAATCAAAACTCCCCCCCCTCTCTTTTTTTCCCCTTCTCTTTTTTGCAAAAAGGATTGTTTTATATCCCACTGGGGGGGGGGGTGATAGGGAGGGAGGGTGAGTAGATTGCCTTTAAAACATGAAGATCCATTCATCTGCTGGATCTATCTCCCCCCCTCCCCGCCCAATTTCAGCAGCTATTTCCTCTCTTCAGCATCTTAGCGGCGGGGGACAAGCAGGAAGAAAGCAAGATTTCTCTCTATGAAAGAGCCAGTAGGAGGTGCACTTATTAAGGCCAAGTAGCCAAGTCTGAGCTTGGCTGAAATTCCCATTCAGCAGGGCATTTAAAGACTTTGGTGGATGGGTAACAAAAGGCTTTCAGAGCTACTGTACAATGACGCTTTGTCCTTTTTTTTTTCTTTTTTCTTTTTTTTCTTCTTCACTTCCCGCAAAACCCTCTTTGGAAGTGTATTCCTTCCCCCTCTTTAAACTTTCTTTCTGAAAAATGAGCATTTCTCAGAATTGACTTAGAAGGAAAATAAATATATGTTGTCGGTTTGTTTTTTTTTTGTCCCCTCCGTTTTCATTTTCTATTGTTCCCATGTGCCAAAATGTTGAGCGGTAGGAAATCTAGCAAGCCTATGGTGAATGAGCTCCCGTTACTTGGGGGGAGGGGGGCGGGCAATGAGAGTTATTTCTACGGCTTTTCCTTTCTATTGATGTGTTATGGAGGAGAGTGAGAGTGTGTCAGTGTGAAAGGACTCCCGTTTCCGACTATGAATAGCTTGGGTATGCTAGTCTGCAGCTTGGAAATGATAATTTTTTTAAAAAAAATAATAATCAGATCTAAGCTTCTTTTGGAGGGCACTTAATCCCATCATGTAATCATTGGTCTAAGTATAATAGAATTCAAGTTTCAGGAATCATAGAGGGAAGTGAATGTGAAGGACTCTTTTGTCTTGAAGTGGGAGAGAGAGAGAGAGAGAGGGAGGGAGGGAGGGAGGGAGGGAGAGAGAGAGAGAGAGAGAGAGAGAGAGAGAGAGAGAGAGAGAGAGGAACCTGCCCTCAGTCTTTCCACCTTCATTCCCTTCTTCACACTTGTGTGTGGTGTGGAGTCAAGAAACGGGATGAATCAGCTTGTCAGCATCTCCTAGTATCTGAATAGGAGAATAATTATATTCCTGGCAAGTGGTGCAGTATAAATCAATGGGGACCTGTCATAGCATCCATCCATTTCAAGGCTGCGGAGTTGCCCTCTGATCTCGGGGACTGCCACATGTGCATTTAGTTAAATTGGCTGGAAAGGCGCATGGTGCATAGAGGCAAGCTATGATCATTGGGCCACATGGTGCAGTGGCTTCTACAGCCTAAAGTTATGGTTCCTTTGACCTGGATTTGGGCTCTAGTGGGATGAATGGATTGATCCCATGGGAGATACTCGTGCTCTTCTTAGCCACAATTGCTGGTCTGTAAGGTGGACAAACATAGTTTCATTGTGGGAGGGAGTAACAGAAAACCCCAGAACAAGTATTTGTGATAGGGTGAGCCAGATACTTCAAAATAACTTCACAGACGTGTATGAAACTGTTTCTGGAGAAGCTCCAGATCCTTCTAGAGTGGTAAACATTGTGTACACTGAAATATTTTGTATAAATTCACATGTAATTAATATATACTGTATGTGGGGGTTGGGGAGAGGGACAATATAGTTTGACTATTAAATCAATAACTCCTTTGACATGAATCTAGTAAGCGTACCTTGTTTTAGATGAATCATCATGGATGAATTGTAGAACATTTGTTAAAATTCTCTCCTCTCCTATTTCTTTGACAGAAATAGTGCCTTTCAATGCTCAGGTGTTATTTTAATACTCTGTACTCAGATTGAAATCTCAGATTCATCAATATAGAATCATCAATAATTTTATCCTTATGTAAGATCACCTTCTTCCCAACAGAATGATGCTGGGACTGTCAATTCCAGAATTTCAGCTAAGATGTCTCCACAGATTTGAAGGATTTCGAAGTTTTTATGGCACATCTCTGTCTTCAGTTGTAGGAAAACCATGGGGAGTTTCAACGGAGTATGTCTTTTATAAAACTGTAACTGAAGATAGGGCTGTAACCACCGATGTCTAATTCACACATATATTTATCATCACTCAATATCTCATCACTTGTCAGCTTATCACTCAGTGTCTTTCAATGGAATGTGTGAATTACTTCCACCAAGAAATATTGAGTTTTAGGGTGAAATCAGGTGTGAACAATGTGCTTCTGTCTCTGGGCCTGTGGTGGTTGTTTCACAAATTATTGCTCTAATGTTATAGGCATCACGGATTGAATGTGCTTGTGATAACTCAGCATGAGGTAAGAGTAGGGGAGTGTGAAGGAGAATCGGTATACCCAGTGGCTATATGCTTGTCTTTTTCTATTTAGTCCAATACATTGATTTGTTTTTTTCAAAAATATCAACTCACATGAATTTGATGCAAGAATGCTGTCTTGCCACAATGTTTTAGAGGTGACATCTTATCAGCCTTGTACTAGCTTCCATTATCAATAGAAATTGTAAATAAATGCACCCTTAATTTTGTCAATGAAACACTTTAATGTCTCTCTGATTCTCTCTGGTATTTTCATTCACGGTTGGTTCTTACAGCGCTAGACTAACAGATTCGATGCTTTCTGTTCAACATTTGATCTCTATTACATGATATTCATTTATTTATTATACATCATATAATAGAAGTTGGCTGCTCCATTTCATAGTTCAAGAGACCACTTATCCACAAATCATGTCAGATCTTCTTTTTGAAATCCTTGATCTCAGGCAGACGTCTTTGAAGATCAGAATAGTGGTGTTTTAAATAGAAGTACATAATATTCAGCTATATTACCAAATGTCATTTTCTTCTCACTGTCTTTTGTCGCACATGTTTCAAAAGAAAAACCTGTTGCTTGCAAATTGTATTTCTAGTTGAAGGATTATTAGGGGTTTTTTCCCCCTCTCAAAGAACTGCTAATAACAGCTCAGAGATTTTCAGACCCCCATCAAAGTATTCAGGTTTCATGGGACTTGAGACTGAACCCATAGGAGCCTCCTAGAAATAAGATACCTAAGACCATAAGAACTCCTTAGTGTTTTTTTATTAACTGATAATATTTATTTATTACACTGTACTATACTGTATTGTACAATATTATACTGTATTATACTAATACTATATTATACTAGTACTATACTAATACTAATACTATATGGTAAAATAAAGGTTCCCCTCGCACATATGTGCTAGTCGTTCCTGACTCTAGGGGGCGGTGCTCATCTCCATTTCAAAGCCAAAGAGCCAGCACTGTCCAAAGACGTCTCTGTGGTCATGTGGCCGGCATGACTAAATGTCAAAGGCGCACGAAACGCTGTTACCTTCCCACCAAAGGTGGTCCCTATTTTTCTACTTGCATTTTTTACGT